GTATAATTATTGTAAATTAAAATAATAATATATAAGATAATCTTTTATATATACTAATATAATTTTTTAAAAATAATTAATAATATATATTAAAAAATCTATTAGTAATTAATATAATGAATAAAAATTATTTATACTAATATAGTAGGTACTATAATTATTAGTACAATTATACTAAAATATTAAGTACTATATTAGTATAAAAAAAATAAATTAGTATTTAGTATCTATTATAAATTAATATTATAAAATTACATTAATTGTTGTAGGAAAAAAATATATTAGTATAACTTATTTAGTTATATATATTAATTAATTATCTTATAAAATAAAATTTATTTATATTACGTTAGAAGTTAGAATTGATTATATAATAAATTACAAATTACTATTATCATTTTCAGATAAGTTATAATTCATTCTCTCTAATGGGAGTGGCGATTCTCTTAGGGTTAGAGGGCGATTCTATCGGGTGTTAGTTGGGGGATTCCTCTGGTTGGGGGGTTTTTCAATTAGAGTCTTTGGGGTTTTTTTAGGGTTTCCATTTGGTTTTTCAGTCTCGGTGTCCCTTTGCTTCTTTCTCTGTTTTAGTAGGGGTGGGTTTCTTCCTTGTTGTCTCTTTCTTTTTTCTGCAGGTCTGTTGATGGATTCTCATTCTACAGAGGCCACTATTCCAGGGGGTTCGCCGGATGTTCTGGGGGAGCAGCTCAGTAAGATTTCACTCTCAGGGGAGGAAAATGGGGTGTTTGAGCTCGAGGAAGCAGATGTCCGTTCTAGTGAAGAAGAGTGTCATAACAGTCTTTTTGGCAAAATTACGGGTGACCGTAGAGCTAGCTTGGTGGGAATAAGGAGAGCTATGAGCAGTATCTGGCAGATTAGTCAGCCTATGGAAGTGCGTGAACTGAGTATGAATTATTTCCAATTTATTTTTGGGAATAAGGAGGACAAAAAGAAGGTCTTATCTGGAGTTAACTGGGTGTTTGATAATCAATACTTAGTGTTGAAAGAATGGGAAACAAGTATTAATGCGGGGTTTGCAGGATTCCAGAAATTGCAACTATAGGTCCAGATTAAGAACATTCCATTGAACTGGCTAAGTGCAGAGACTGGATTGAAGGTTGGAAGGATCTTCAAAAAAGTGAAAAATGTCTCAGTGATCAATGCAGGAGGTACAAAGGGCAGTTTCATCAGACTGTTAGCAGTAGTGGATTTATCTAAAGCTCTACCTCGCTGTACTTCGATCAAATTCCAGGACAAACAAGTTCTTGTGGGATTCCAGTATGAACGGCTGGTTAACTTATGCTACTATTGTGGCAAAATCGGCCACTTGGATAGGAGCTGCAAGCATAGATTGGAAGACATAGATAAAGGCAAACTTAAAGGAGGCCAGTATGGAGATTGGATGAAAGCATTGGATGTAAGCCAGAATTATATGTGGTACTCAGGCAGATTTGGGCAGCACCATTCATCAGGGGGAAACAGTTCCGAGCACAACCTTAATTCTGCTTCAGAGAGAAGGGATGATGTGTCTCCTCAAACTAATGAAGCAAATACTGAAACCTCTCTACAGCTGGTTGTAATTGATCATGGAAATGGGGGAATAGAAACAACCAATGGTGGAGCTCATGAGATCATTAACAAGAACATGGATGAGGATCATATTGGAACAAAAGGAGGACCAGGGTGGATGGAAGGGCCATTAAGGATTGAGGAGAACCAGGAGGATACGGGAAAAACAAATGTTATGGCTGCAACGCAAGCCATGGATCTATCAATGTACAATTTGGTGGAAACAGAGGTGAAAATAGATGGCAGCGGTTCTTCTTCCCTAATTCCACCAAAGGGAGGCAGAAGCTGGAGGAGGATATCCAAAGCTGGTGACAAAGTACAGAGACAAGTTCAGAA